GTGGGGGGTGTTTACTTTCCAAAAAGAAAGATTGATTCTCCATGGTTGATATGATTTTGTCTTTCCTAATGAGGAGGATCCATCACACATGGTCATTTAAACAATTATAACAGCCAATACATTTATTCAGATTCATAATTTTGTCATCATTAAATTAAAAAAAAAAAAAAAAAAAAAAAAAAAAAAAAAAAAAAAAAAAAAGAAGTGACACTATAAGATGATTAATTTTATACTCGATTGTGTCAAATTGCATTAAAAACTGAAATTGGAATGCATTTAAAATGCACAGAAAAACGCACTTAAAATCTTATTATTAATTAAAATTATGTTAATAAGTTGGTTGCATAAAAATAAATTTAATCGGGCTTTTTTTGCATTTTAAATACATTTATTAAGAAACAATATTATCTCTGGTCAGGAAAATGAACTGTTGTTACTGGTCCTTGTATCCTTCAAGTACTTAGAGAGCATGCCCTTTTGCATCTTACTTTCAATCAGATATTGGAAGAAGAAAGCTTGCTTTCAAACAGTTTCAAGTACCATTTCTTAGCTTCCAGAAAATTCTAACTAGCTGTAAAACCCCCCAAAAAAGAAAACTCCCCATACTTGCCAAATAAGTTATTTCTTTCAAAAGATGGACTAACTTTAACAAACTCTGGTTTGGGGTGCCTAATTGGCAACTTGCATGAGTTCATGTGGTTTAGTTTATACCAATTATAAGATTGTAAGAAAGAGATATAGAACCTGTTGCTTAATTTGTTACACAACTTTCCCACCTATATTTGTCTTACTAGGCTTGCTGAACTTAAACATGTGCTTTATGTTTTGACTCTTTCAGTGTGCACCTGAAGCCTAGAACAGGGGTGGCTGGCCTGCAGCACAAGTAGCACAGGCAGCCTATTTTTGAGGGCACATAACTTCGCTGACCACACAGAAATCCCAGAAGTCTCAGATATTATCCAGGAAATCTAGGCCACTGCCTATGCCCACCCACCCCACACAGGCCCTCAAGTCTGTGGAGGTGGGGCTGTGTGCCAGGCAAGCAGTGGTGCCTGGCTGCAAGGTGCTCCACACCTCTCTGATTCCCAGCCAGACTGCACTCTGTACCCAGGACACCCGTTATAATTCCCAACAGCTGGCCAGGACTGTCTTCTGAAATTCAGGATTGTCCTGGCTAAAATGAGAGAGACAGTCACCCTACATATGACAGATTTGGGAGGACTGGCAGCAAAGCATCAGATAGGGCTGGAAGCAGAAGACAGAGCAAGAAACAGGCAGACAGAGAGCGAGAAGCACAAGATTGGACAGAGAGTACAGAGTAGGAAACAGAAAGCACAAAAGCTGAGGAAGGGGACTGGAGTGGCACACAGAAGATGCAAAATTAATGTACATCACACCTGCCAAAAGTCTGACTCCCATGGCCCTGGAATATTGCTGAACTGTTGGGCTGGTATCTGATCAAGTGAAACTAATTTAGGTTTTGACTATTTTTTGTAAAGCACAGTCCCCACTTCAAATGTGGCCAAGAGGCACGGACTAAGAATGCTGGAACTGCCTATTGTGTTGGTCAATTTATTAGCCTTCCAAAAACATCAAACTCAATTTTAAGCATTCATGGAACAGGACTTTTCATAAATCCATTTGAAAGCATGTGTGTGAAATTAATGTTCTAGGCCTTAACTCAGCTAGCGGATAAGGCAGGTAACACTTGTCAGGGTTTAGGGGGGGAGGGGGGGGGGGGTAAAGGGGAAGGTGTGTTGTGTGGTGGGGGGGGGGGGGGGGGGGGGGGGGTTAAAGGGAAAAATAAACAAAAAACATTGAACATTTTTTGTGCATAATTTCTATATTGGCCAGTAAGTTAAGATCCTGAATGCATGCAAGAGTATCAAAACTAGTAGTTTAGAATCACCAACTATTACATTAGTTTTCAGAGTATAATTTAACATAATAATAATTGTTGAGTGCCATCTAATTTTATGATTGTTCAGGACAGACATGCTGTCTTATAGATGCTTTCTATAAAACTACATCTCACTTGACAAGTTAGAACTAGAACCAGAAGCCTAGCCTAACTTTTACACACCATGCTTCCGAGTGGAATTAACATATCCAAATTATGCATACAAAATGTATGAAGAAGTGGCCTCTCATCTTAAGCATCTCACAAAAGCCACACTGAGCAAGGAACCATTTAGTTCAGGCATCAGGGTGGGCTACACATAAAACCTGTCCCTCAAGAGAGACTGCAGGTAGGTTATCTTCTTCCACTTCGAATTCACAACCAGAATTCTTCCATGGATCTAAAAGAGCCCTCTCACCAAGGAAGGTGGGGACAGTGGAATGTTTCCCCAACCTGGGCCTAGTAATCTGATGGTTAGTGCAATCAAACCCAATCTAGGCAACCCAGGATCAAGTTAAGGCTAAAGGCTGCAGAGTCCTATGCCTAAACAGATCTGAACCCACATCTCCCAGGTGATCGTCTTAACCACCATGCACTAGGGTGCCTGGCTCTCAATTTCTCCAGTGGACCTAAAGAACAGCCACAAGTTTCAACTTCAGCAAAGGTGGTACGGTACTGAAGTCCATTTGGGAACTGAAGCTTTAAGCTGTTGCCTGACTTAAGAAAAAAAGAGTCTTCCAAACTGGTTACAATGCTGCTTTGATTCCTGTCTGATAAAGCTGTCCCCACCCTCACTTTAGTGAAGAATTCATTCAGCAAAAAGTATCAGTAGAAAAATGATGAAATCAAGTTGTCAGGAAAGCTACTAATAGTTGGCTAAAGACAGGAATTCTTCATATTACTCTATAAAACAGCTAGCACACTTTGGGTTGTTCACAACTAATCTGCAAAAAAAAGATTTTTTCTTTTTTTAATTCTTTGGAAGTTTATATATGCATAAGTATGTGCTAGGACCAAAATTAAGTAGAAGCATGAAAGCATTCTTATATTTCTAACATCCACTGCATTAATTAATATTTAGTGTATATTTCTCAAATAAGGTCTAAAACTTCTGATTCTTTGATACCTTTGGTCATTTTTAACTAAAGACTGTACTAGTACAAAATGAACATTTAAATCCAAAATTGTTTCCAGGATTCTTCTTGCAAAGAATCTCTTCTAAACTTAAGCTTGAAGAAAATCCTATAGAAAAGCATTTCCATTACTAATAATTTGTCATATATACTTGGTTTATCAAGTTACAAAGTGAAAGCTTAGAAGTCATTAAGTTTGTTCTGTCTAGCAGCAAAAAAAACAAAAAACAAAATTGTTCTAGGAACTGCTATTGCTCCTGCATGAGCATCCCTACAAAACAGTAGGTGACTGCTGAAGTGGGAATGAATAAGATTCTCAACTACAAACCTGATCCTGCAAACACACAACACACATGCTTAACTTGACTATGTTGAAGGAATACTACGTTCTTGGGCGTCGTAAAATTCAGGACCATAATTGCTGGTTTGAAGACTAAGACTGTGCCCATTTTCATGAGCATTGACCCTAGCTAGTAACAGGAGTTAGACAGCGAGTGTCCTCTCCTACCCCGTGTTAGAGTAGGGCTGCAGGTGAACTGCTCCTTCCATTGCAGCAGCCCAGGCCCCAGGCTCCCCCTTCCTCCTCCCCGTGCTTCTTGCCCCAACCACAGCAAGAAGCAAAATGTCAAGCTCCACAGTAACATGCACCTTTCCCATCTGATCACGGCTAACTGGCTCCGAACATGGCCATGTTGGTAGTCGCACACACAAACACACACGGGCACTGCTGAGGGCTTAAAATGGCCCACCACAGCGGCTGGCTTTCTGCCCTCCTACAAAATGGTGCTTGCAGGCAGTGCTCCGACACCTGGGCTCTTCCACATGGAGGACTCGAAGCCGCAGAGGCCAGGCCAGAAGAGGCAGAGCAGCGTCGAGAGAAGCGGCCCCGCGCGGAGCCCGCCCCGCGCCCGCGGCCAAAGCG